AAACTGAGAGGACAATGTAGTGAGTAGCTGAGAATCCAAGTCGTAGGGTGGCTGAGATTGCAAGGAGCTGGTCGGTTAGCAGAGTGGGAGTTAGGCTGGAGGCAAACCCTGAGTCTGGGGAAGGCTGGAGCCTTGCAGTCCTGAGGCAAGCTGACCGAGATTCAAGCTGGAGCTTTCTGGCACACTGAGGCAACGTGACTGGGAAGCAGACTGGAATTTTTCATTACAATATTAATAATATAAATAAATATATAATGCAAAATAAATGTCGGCAAATCATAATCAACAACAAACAACCATTGTTTTACCAGTACACCAAAGTCTGTTACTCACTGCAATTGAGTGTTTACCTATTGGGTCATTGAAGTTACTGAAAAGACCTTCTTAGTTCTTATTTGTAATTTGCCATTTTCCTCGAATGTTCTATACATTTCAGCCCAAGGATGAACTATGCTTGCACATCGTCCTTGATTTTCCCAGTCAGAGGACTGATCCCCGAAGAATAATCTATATTTAGCATTTAGTTTAATGTTTGTACCTGCCACAAATACACCCTGAATACACTCACAAAGTAAAGTTACTGCAAGTGAACTTTGAAGTTCAAAAGATCTGCCTGTTTTTAGGTGGCTAAATAAATCTTCCTGGTGCCCCCGTCCACAGCACTGCTTCCGTGACAGGACTCTTCAAACTGAGGGGGTTACTGACCGCCGTCTACTGTAAGTAGTGTTTTCAACCTTCTGGCCCTTTCAGATTTATTTTGCTGATTTTGTGGAGGCTGATGCAGACTGGTCTCAGCAGTAAGATCAGAGACAATGCATTGTTAAGATTATATGACATATCTTTTGAACACCTTACATATCAGGGGAAGGCAATCTTTTTAGTTGCAATAGCCATAATAATCAAAGCAGTGTGTGCACATCCTGTGTAGAAAAGCCAAATGAAATGAGAAAAAAAAAAAAAAAAACAGATTCATCACACACACCTAACCTGGAGAAAATGTAAGGTTTATTCAGGACAATCATACCAAAAACAGCAGTTTTCAATAAGCAGTAGTTCATCCAACAGTCAGGAAAATACATATATACATTTACATCTTAAAGTTAATAATTATACAAAGATTTTAAAATAATTATCTAGTTAGAAAATCAGTTTCCACCCAAATGGTAGTTATCATTCTATAACTTCCTCAAACACTCATGCTATGTAGAGTGATCCACAGATCCAAGAACAAATGCAGACTAGGTCAACTACCTATCCTTGTTGCTACGGAGATCAGTTGTCAAGGGGTCGTGCTGAATAGTTTGGTGCAACATCAGAGCGAGCAGACCAGCTCTGTTGGTCATAGCAGTCCTGACATTACGCTCCTGTTCAAAGAGCTCGTCCAACTTGTACCACTGTGGGTGAAGAAAAAAAAAAAAACAGGTTATAGATATCACTTCACTCATTGTGGGCCGAGGTTCGAGAAGCATTTGCATCTCCTAACAAATGTAATTTCAAGTAGGAGGCATCAAAAGAAACTCCTATATCTTATTGGGCAGATAAAATGTTTAAAACATGCGTGACTTTCTTTGATGTTTCCAACAGAAAACCTGCAGAATTTCCAACAGATACCACATGTTCTGTACTTTAAAATGAAAGCTAAAGTCTGGAAAGTTTGACTTGCCACTCTGACTCGCTCCAAGTCCACCTCTGCTCTCCTCAGCTTTTCCCAGTTGTAATGTTTGTTGCATTTCCTTTTGGAGACCCTGCAGTAGTCTCCTGTCAGCTCAAACACATTCTTCACCAGAGGGCACCCACACACCTCGTCCACTGAGACCTAGTCACCGAAAAAAAGAATAAAAAATCTCTTATAAACATTACTTTAGGTTTACCTTGTTTGTTATTTTTTACCAATATTTCAAGATTTACACCAAATAGAGAGTTGTTTTGTGAATCGTGGAAATCATACTTGAAGTTTGATAAATGGCTGAGGAGTTTCAACTGACCTTAGGATCTCTGGAATGCTCTGGGCACAAAACTTGAAGTCTCTTGCAATATGTTTTGCTTTGGGGATTGTACACATCGCAGAAGAGTCTGGTTGCTCTGTGGAATAAAACGAGTTGTCAGAAAATCAACTGAACTACAGAAAACTGCTATACACTTTGAAAGTATTTCTTTTTCTTACCCTTCTATTCTTGTAGGGTACATGGAACCAAAGGAGGTCTGACTCTCATACTGTGGAGATAAACATTAGTAAAAGGAATGTTACAAGTAGCCCAAATGCATTTGTTTGTGTTTATATCTGATGCCTAGAAGCAGACATTTAAAATAACAACAATCACCTTTGCGTAACATCTCTCCATATGTCTCAGTGCCACTTTTGGATTGATGGGATGACTACAAGACACACAGAAAATCTGCAGGTCTGTGTCCTCGCTTTCACCGTCATTCACCTGCAAACAGAACCAAAGCATTTCATCACAAAGTGCTACCTCTGTTCTTCTTCAGCAGCTTCAAATAAACAAGAAAGGCCTGAGATTGCAATTTCAATTTCAATGTGGGCTCTAACTTTGACAAGACCCACAGGGAACAATCATGGAAAAGCTACAACAAGCTGTGTATGTGAATGAATATGCATATATGCTGCTGCCAGCTCACCTCCTCGTCCTGCTGGACCGCCTGCTGCTTGGCCTTGGCGATGATGCCTTCCAGTTCGTGAAAGCGTCGTTCCATTTCTGTGAGACGCAGCCGTGCGTTCTGTTGTTCCCGACGGATGCGCTCCAGGTGCTTCTTACCGTGCTCCTCGGCAATGCAGGGACTCTGCTGCCACTGCTGGATACGCTGAGGGAGAATCTCATAGATCCGGCTGTGGATCAAAATGCACACAGATTAATGTATTTAAACGGAAAAAGAACTTTATTAGGATTTCTCTTTTATCATCAATTGGTTAGATGAGAGGAAAACCTCAGTAAACTATCCCTGGGACACTACACCGAGGATAATGATGAGAAAGACAAAAGGGCATTTTACTAGCATTTAATTCTTCTAGCACTAGATGGAGCAATAGTACTATCATTTGACCTACAGATAGAAGGCATTAGAAGCAAAAAGCAAACTCTAATAAGAGATAAAAACTTCAATTTAATTTCTTTTGGCTTTTGTTCTTAGCAGGCGTCCAGACTACAGTACAGAAAACATTCTGACTGATGTACACTAATGCATGAAAGGTAAAAAGGTCTTACTTGGCAGCTAACTTCATGCCACAGTCCTCAGAGCAGTATTTGGAGTTGGGTCTTGCCACCTCCACACAGCTTGGCCCCAGACACTGACGCTGCCCTGTGTTATCACGGAGTTCACCCTTCTCACTGTATCTGGTTCTGTCTTTGTGCTTCTGCTTCTGTTTGTGGCGTCGGGACTCCTTCTGGATAGTTGAAAGAGGAGGGGTTAGTAGACCAGATGTTACCATGTGTGTTACTACCATTTACCATAATGAGAAATGGCAGCACTTCAAATAATGATGATCATTTCTATGAGGAATCAAGTCTTACTTTCTTGTCAAACTTCTTTTCTCGTCTCTTGACGTGCTTCACCTTCACCGCTTTCTTGCGCATGACAGGACTGAAAGGCGGCTCGTCGTCGTCATCACTAGCCCAGGCCTTGGCGAGAGGAGAGAAAACACATGACTCAACATACGGCTGCTGATGGATCTAAAACGAGCAGGTTTATATGCAACTATAATATGGTGTCAAAGGTTCTGCTACCAAGTTGTTGTCAATGCCTGCTGCCTTGTACTGCTGGTAGAGATCCGCTTCACTGTCGTAGTCCTCAGAGTACCGTCTCCGTCTGTGGTAGGAATTCTCCCTTCTTTCTTGCAAAGAGAGTTCCTCATCCTTCACACGCAGCATTTTCTGTGAAACAACAGGCAACAGGTTACACATTTCTAAACTAGCCACAAGGGCCTGCTCAAATACATCAGAGATCAGGGAGTGCTAATCACTTTTGCAGATTGCAGAAGTTTCTCATTTAAAAATTAATTTATGTTTTTATGTACTTTATGTTGGTACCTTGGAAGAGACTATATGATTCAGGGTTCCCATTCTTTAAAAAAAAAGAAATTCTGGACTTTTTCCATGTTTTTCTTGACAAATTTTTTTCAATGATGCAGTGTTCAAAATGAAGTGTCTCAGGGTAGATGGTCAGCATTTATGGTACACTCCGCGTTATCTCACTTTGAGGACATGGTTCGGTGTTCTCACCACAGTCTACCTCAGTTTTCCTCTAACTGTAACACTCAATGTGCCACAGCTGATTAGTAATAGCTCAAATTAAGAATTCATCCACCTATTAGCTTATCAATAAAAGAAATAGAAAGTGAAAGTGTTGGTTGTACATATGATTAACATCAATGTCCATGCACTTATCAATTACAACAACAAATGTAAATTTGATCATTAATAAGTTGTATTAATGTAGATATGACCATCTAAAGTATTTCAACTGGGTTTCTCTGAGATTTACGCTTGGGGCTCTGGATAAAAATAGATGACACAGAAAAGATGGTTGCAAATCCCTCTCCACATTTACCATTTTATGAATAAAGTATGTTTAATACAGAGTAATATTCTAGTAAAGCATCGATGCAGGAGCTTAAATGTATTGAGTAAATCTACAAAGTTAAATCTACAACTTTCGATTAGTAACAAAGTCAAATGAAGTTGAAAATGTAAGAAATAAAATATACTGTGGTGGCATAATCCCATTTTTAAACAAAATAGAGACTTACCCTAGCACGAACTTCACATTGCCGAAACCTGCATTTCTGTCTGATTTTGTTGGGGCCTCCAAACTTCTTCATGTCCTTGCAGAAGTCACACTGAGCACAGTCCTCAGTCCTTCTGCACGGCTCACATTCCCCACACATTCGAACTGAGCGCTTCACCTGAGGAAAAACCAACAACAATGAGACCCAATGCACCCTAAAAAAAAATTGCATTGTTTTCCATACAAGATATTTACCTATTGCTGGAAAATGGCACTGCTGTAACAAAAAGCTATATTCTCTACCACTTTCATTTTAAAATAGCCTGCCATGTAACCTGTTACTTTTATGTGACACACTGCAAATAACTTCTGCTTCCCCACTCTGTACAACCCCTGGCTTATATTTTTGAATGAATGTATTGTATAATATATATTATAGTAACATTGATCACCGTTTTCATTTATATGCAACAGTCATTTCCCTCTCATTTCTGTAAGAACGTTGTGATGCTCTTCAGCTACTGCAGTAAAACTTAAATATTTAGGTCAGAAGTACAACTTACTTTAGATCCACGTCTCCTTTCACTCTTATAGTCTGGAGTACTCGGGGTGCTGTACTGTTTTTCAGCTCTGTCAGACTCACTTTCCTTCTCTTTGTTTTTCTTGGATCTATATTTTATTTCCAGTGAAGGGTTTTTATCTGGGGACAGGGAGAATAACACAAGGATGTCTTATTTGTTTTGATGATTTGTGATGCATTTAATGGTAACGGTAATGATAAACATGGAGGTGTTGGTTAATGCAATTTCTTTGTCATCACCTCTGCATCTCATGCAGTACCATTCTCGGATTGCCTTTGCTGTCTTCTCTGTGATGTTAATGCAGTGGCCATGAAACCACTCATTACAGTTATCACAGCCACTGTCAGTGGGAAAGGAAATGAAGAAAACAACGTATGAGCATCATTGCATCCACTCGCAGTTATGGTGTAATTGAAACAACAGCACTGGTGTGGTGAGCTTACATCATGAAGCAGTTAATGTCTGGTTTCCGGCAGATACAGTACAGTGGTGCATTCTCCCCCTCCATACTGCTGGTCTCAGGCCCTGGTACAGGGTCAATGTCAGACATTTCGCTGTCCTGAAAAGTACCAAAAGCATGACAAACCACAATACAACTGATGTCATATTGTAATGTATACTTCACACCAATGATTCACTGATTGCTGAGCTGCAGGAGATTTTTCTCAAAGACAGCAGGAGGCTTTATGTGAGCTCCTGGAGTAGCTGCTGTGTTATCAGCTAGCCACTTGGCTTTTGCAGTGTATCTCTGCTGTCAGTGTGCTGCTCTGTAACTGGGGATTGTTCCTGCCTTACCCGCTCATGTAATCAGTATGCTATCCTCCAAAACACTGAAACACACCGTTCTTCCTGTTACTAGCAACTCTACTCTCCCGCCCTTACATTATTTAGAAAATGTAAACATCTTCCCGTGTGTCCATCAACACACTATATATAAATAAACAAAGACATGGTGTCTAACACCGAAACTAAACTACAGCAGTACATGTTACAACTAGCATCGTTAACTTACACCGTGATTTCCCGTGTTGTAGAGTTTCATCGCTTCGTACTTAATGTTAGCTAGCTAACGTTATATCTTCATTAGCGTGTGCTGTCCAGAAAAAGAAAACAGAAAGAGGCAAAATATATGTATGATATGATATGATATATATGAGTTGGTCAGCTAATAAATCCCTACAGTAAAAGGCAGACTCCTAGTAATATAAACAGCTTCTTTGTTTACACTAAAGCTAGCTAACGTTACTGTATGTGCTCAGGTTAGCCCGCACAGTAGTCAGTTAGCATCAGCTACATTGTTAGTTTACAGTCACTCATAACACCAGTTTAACTTCAACACTAGACTATTCTGCATAGACAGGACTTATGTAACGTTATATACTCACTACAATGACGACAGAGCTAACTGAAGTTGGATCATGCTCATGTCGGATGTAAAGTTACCGTGTAACATATTAGACGATCAGAGTCAATTAGCCAAATCGTAGATTTACAGAGAAGAACATCTTCATTTATAATACTTACCATTATGTGTACAGTCTCAGAGCGTCCTGCAGATACCGTGGAAAGGCAACAAATACAACAAAAACTAAGCCTAGCCCTACAATCGACAGCTCGCGTAAAGCTTTACAAAGACAACATCGCTCAGTCGGCTAAACTCGCTACTACTCGTAGAAATGTCCTTACGTCATTGGTCGGTGTTCTTCTTCTCTGGTGGCAAATCAACATACAATGGGGAACTGCTGCCGCCTGTTGGATTTACAACAACTTGCGTTTAAAATACACAATTTAATTTAATTCACACAATATGTCACACTGTGTCCTGCAGACATATATGTAGTATACCATTTAAATATAGAGATTATACGATGATTCTTCCTTATAATCATGTTAATACTTGCTTACATTAGACATTACTATCACTACTACTTACAAGATGTATGACAAAAACCACTTATCTAAATAAGTAATATTATCTTGTTTTTACACACACACACATTTTGTTGTTTTATTCATCTACTTCTTGTATTGTATTTAATGATTAGTATTTTTAAGAAATATTTGCTTAATTGAATCTTTTCTAAATTAATTGTATTATTATTATTATTATTATTATTATTATTGTTGTTGTTGTTTGTTGTCTGTTGCTCTCAAATTATTAATGCTTTGGCAACACTTGTTTCTAACATTCACACCATTAAAAGCATATTACATTGAAACTGAAATTGAGAGAGAAAGAGAGCAAGAGAGAGAGAGAGAGAGAGAGAGAGAAAGAGAGAGAGAGAGACCCTGTGAGATGCAGGTACACCTCCACTGCTGACATGCTAAAGGCTGCATACATGGATCGCCTGGCTCTAAAATATGTCATGAAAAGTGAGTACCATTTTTCTATAAAGCTTAATAACAAGAGACAAACACAGCAGGCTTTGTGGATTCCTGTACATTGCAGTAATGAATAACATGAACTGTTATGTTTTAATGGCTGTGGCTATTGAGTACATTCATCAGATGGACTGAATTAAAGCTTATTGAAAGTAAATTATTTTGATTTCATTCAATCAGTTTGACACAATGCTACATTGTATTATTTACTCTTCTTTGTATCCCCCATAACTGATTACCGTTATTGAACCATAACATATTGTTATAGTTCAATAAACAACAATAACATATTGTTATAGTTTAATAAATTCAAATCAGATAACGGAACAAAATGTTTTTTCCTGTTCTATCTGCAAATGAAAAAAGAAACTGTCAACATAAGGTAAGTATTACATGAAAAACATGAATTATTAATGAATTGCAAAATCAAGATCTTACATTCTCCTATAGCTGTCGGGATATCTGCGTGCAGCCTTTTATCTACATTAAAAATGCTTCCAAAATGGTGATTAATAATAGATTAACTTCTCTGCCATTTCAAAGATGTCCACTCATCACTAACAGCCACAAAACCTCAGCTACAGATCTGACTCTGGGTCTGTGGTATGTACACAAAATTATGAGCTTTTACATTTACATTACATTACAAACTTATAAAGTGAATTATTTCCATTTAAGAAGATAAAATATATGAAATTAAAGCATTATAAATGATTATATAGTGAATTTAAATTACAGTTTTTAGCACATTTTAGAATTTTCTCTCTGATTAACAGGGCCAGGTTCACTATTTTAGTTTCTCTTGACCTACCTTCTAACTCTAGTTGGTTGTCTTTCAGTTTAGCACACATCATAGTTAAATGGATCCCACGATGGAGGACAAACTGAATTCTGCAGATGTGAACGAGAAGATGGATGATGGAAATGATGAACAAAACAAAAAGTTCTGCGACTCACTAACCACTGCTTCAAAGCCCCCCATTATACCCGACAGCTCCATCGCAGGTCAAACATTGACATTTATAGAGAATGAAGTCATGCATTGCTACTGGTAATAAAAGATTAACTTTCTTCTTTCCTTGTCTTCCAGGATCTTTGGCTGAAGTCACAAATTGTTCAGAGGAGATTTTCACTGAGGACACTGATTTATCTTCAACTGACATCTCTGTCAATCTATTCCCAAGTAAAACTCTTAATCCATGAATATGAATTAATTAATTTAATTGCCTGTAAAAGCAATGTTTATGAACATTTGTTGTTCATTTTTATGTCCGGTGCAGAAGCCTCTGTTGAAACCAACTTGCATAATAGTCTAAAAGGTGGAGTGACCAGAGCAGTATCCATCTGTAGTCCATGCTCTGTGGAGAGAGACCAGCCAAAGCCCTCCTGTGCCCTGCTACCATCCTCTATGGAGCCCTGCACAGTCTATGAAGTGAGCCAATCAATCAACAGCCTAAAAACCACCACGGTCCACACTGAGCCGGACGCTGACGGTAAGGACACAAAAATATGGTGTATTCCTTCTTATCTTCTTGTTCTTAAATTGAAGCTTTCCTCTCTCACCTTGCCTCTTTTCTTGTTGTCGTCAACTTTCTTTCCTTGAGACCTTTGTGCTGCAGTCCTTTTGGCCTGCCTCTTCTGTCATCCACTGGACTGTTTACTGGCCACAATGAGAGGGTGTAACGAGTGCGTTTGGTCACTGTGCTCATCCCTATGCGGCTGCGAGCCCACCACCCTGCAGCCTCTCCTGGACGTCACCCAGCAATGTGACCTCTGCAGCTGTCTGGGTGCTCGCTGCTTCCTGTGTGACTGTCCCGTCTGTGACATCTGCCTGCAGGCTACAGAGTGCCTAGACCTTGCTATGGAAATCTCTCAAATGCTTTACCACTAGTGCTGGCTGCCAGCAAATAACCACATCCAGACACAAACCAATGGGAATCATTTATTTGTTAAAATCTTCTGAAAGCCAACCTGTAGCAACAAGACACAAATGCTACCGGATTATGGTTAACAGTCAATGTTAGCACTCAAATATACGTCAGGGTAAGACATGGTTAATATTGTGTACGAGTGGAAAAGCTGACCATAGGTACTTAATCTTACAGGAATAGTAACAACGCAATCAGCAGCACCGTGCTATAGAGTAGAGCTGCTTTTATCTCAAAAACAAAGTAGGTGAGTTCTGAATGAAGAGGAGAGGACACCTTAAAATCATTGTAACCACCAAACCACCAAAGAGTGTTTTTGGCTGCTTTTTCTCATTTTGTTTTTATGTTATTACAGCTAAAAGGAGAGCTTAGAATTTAAGTATATCAATAACTTGGAGGTTGTGTTGAAGGAAGAAATAATACAATGCGCCAGTGTTAAAAAAAAACATGAAACAACTACACTTATGCAGGTACTTTCTCAAACACACATTCATTAACTATACATAAGGTTGTGTTAAGCATCTGGTAAATTAAAAGCCTCTCCAAGTTTGTGGCTATTTTACAGAATAATAATTGCATTGCAGGTTTCACACGGCAAACAGTTATTCCTTATTATTACAAATGTGAGGCGGCTAGTGGTTGGTTTAAAAGGAGGCCAAAGCCCTCTGATGTCACACTACAATGAGCAATAATGCATTATCAGATATATCAGTTTTGATCGTCAAAAAAAGCCACCATCTTGGTAGAACATGCTAACCAGTAAAATCACTCAGTGACCACCAAGGTTAACAGACACAAACAATCACTGACAACACAGATATTAGTCAGGAGAAATGACTTATCAAACTATTATTCAGGTATCAAAAAATGTTATGAACTACAGTACTATTGTAAAAGGATAAAATTGTTCTGCATTTCTCATACCGTCTCTCATTTCCGTTGACTGAGTGAATATATTCAAAAATAAAACGCTGATTTGTAATTAGTAGCTACTCTGGAAGAAGTCCTGCTTTGGCTAACTAGCTGCAGCAGCAAGTGATTTTTCACTGCTTTTAAGGTTTATTACAAATACATGCAACCTGGGCATTAGCCGTCCACTGTGTGTAATGGTAATAAAAAACAGACAAAAGCTCTCATAAAATGCATAGACTGCCAAAAAATAAGGTGCAATAAAATTGCTCAAAATAAAATATTCTTATATACAATATGCAGTAAATATTTCACAATGTGCCAATTCACTTTACAAAGATCCCTTCTGTAGCTGCTGGTGAAACAACCCAACACGGATGAGCATGCAACTGCTATTAACAAACCCTGATTCCAGTCAGTTGAAAAGAAAAAAAAAATAACAGAAAAACTAAATATACTGTGTGTTGGCATCTCTTAAACCAGCCAATGTTGTTGTGAAACCTCACAGCTTTCTTCCCTGGAAATGAGCACAATAAATTTAAGCAAACTTTATATCCCTCTTAAATCTCTGAAGAAAATCTTAAAAACTATTAAAGAATGTATTATTTCTTAATGCTAAATCCATGCCCCTATTATACAATATTCCATTTCAATAAGATTGCATTTATAAACAAAGACATAATCATCTGACCAGCTCCATACAGGAACAATAAAAATTAGGTCTGTATGGCAAAAGAATTCAAGATGCAACGTTTGTTAGTTTTGATCTTAATGTTAGCTAGTTTTGCTTTAAGTTCTACAGTCCTATAAATAGACTTAACGTTATTTAAGGATAGACTGCACTCCCTGACATTCTTGTCCCTACAGACAGTCTCTGACTGCCACACAGAGCTCATCACAAGTCCTCATCCATTTCAAGGCTGCTCCTGCGACTGCTGGTTTTAGAGGCACCTGGTGACAAAGGAGAAAACAGCGGCTCGCCCATCCTGTCTGGAGACATGGTGCATCCGTCGTCCATAAGAATGTCTCCCAAGCCCACGTCTGGGTAGAGTGCTGAGGCGGATGTGTCGTCTAGCTCGGCAAAGCTGAGGCTGCCCAGATCCAGGGGGCTGCTGATGGTGACACCTGCAGGAGAGTCTGAGGAGGGCGGGGACAGGAAGGAGGCGGGCAGAGACTGACCAATGGCGGCTGCACCCAGACCGAGGAGGTTTTGGGAGGAGGGTCCTCCTGCGCTGGGAGGCAGAGACTGGCCGCCCTGTGGGACCGGCTGCTGCTGGAGCAGGGAGGGATCGGAGCTCAGAGCAGGTGAGATGCTGCTGGAGGAGGAGAGGCCGTGGATCCGAGCCTGCACTTCCAGCTCCTGAAAAGAACAGCAGCAGCTAAATATTTTAGTATCAGAACATATAAAGCCTGCATGATGCAGGCTGAGTTGCATGCTAACTGTAGCAATAATGACTATAGTAACAGAAACACACATTTGCTATATACTGACCTGGATGCGTAACATTAGACTGTGATTTGCCTGCTCCAGCTTTTTCTGACGCATTTCGATATCCTTGGCTCGCTGCTGCTCCTTCTGTAACTTCCTGATGTAGTCTACAGAAGCTTTCAGAATGGTGCCCTTATTCCAGCGCATCTCACTGGCATTGTTGTGATATCAGTAAATGTATATTGTAGAGGCAGTGAAGAGAGGAAACAACAGAAACAGAAAACCTAATTAAATTTCAATAGTTACTAAAATGACTGGAATTGCATACTTGTGAAGTGATTCAACAAAGTATCCTCAAGTATCCTTACGGGTCATTTGACTTGGGTATCAGTGTACCCAGCTCCTTTATACGGTCATTGATGTTGAATCTCCGCCTCCTCTCAACTGTAAACAAACAAGAATGACAATTTCAGTTGTCAGTAAGGAAGCAATATTTGATATACATGGACATGAGCAGACTGAGATTGTGATTTTGAATATGCACTGCATGTGTGTCAAAAATGGTTGAAATAAAACTCGACTTACTGAGGTTGTGGTTGTCTTTCTTCTGCCTTTCTTTCATTAGTGCTTTGGCATCTGAATCTGAAAGACAAATTCATTGCGTTTTCCATCTTAAATGTACCACGAGGAGTTTTTAACTGGTTAGAAAACAGTCCTACTAATGCCTCTATATGAAGATTAGCTATTTCTATATAGTTATTGTTAATGCCTGCCACTGAGTCAGTGGAAACACTAGCGCTTTTGTCCACAGGGGCCACTAGAATCAACACAAAATGAAAGTTCCTTGTAGCTGCTTTAAATAAAGGCTTTCCTGAACCTTAAAAAGGGACATATGTTTATAAAAGTTACTGTACCAGTAATTTCCCTTTTAATTTTTGGAAGATCTGCAGGGCAGGAGTTGCTGACAGTCAGAGTAGGTGCTGCCATTCCAGGGCTATGGTACACATCCAACAGATTTCCTGGGAGCTACAGGAATAAAAGGTGAATGGTTATTGATAGCCAGAAATCTAAAAGCAAATGTGTAAAAAGGATGTCTTCCCCATTCCTGCTTAAAAGGTAAGAGCAACCTGTTCCTCGAGTTGAAAGTAGAATCAAAGTTGGTGTCTGTGGAATGCTACTACTACTACTGCACAGTGGAACCGGACCACAGTGAAAAGGCAGGTATTACAATTACATTTTAAAACTAAACTTTTTATCTACAGATGCTGTTCAAGGTTAATGCACCCTAACCAACCATTTATACTACAATCTTGCAGATAAAATGTAAACAACAATATCTGTTGCCATTTCAAAAATCACAAAAGGCTTTTACCTCACTGTGCTTCTTTTTCTTTTCCTCCAACAGCATCACCATAATCCTCATTTTTTGTCTTGTGGCCAAATTTTGGTAAGCTCTTTCTGTCTCAAGTAAGTTCTAAATCTGGCAGCTACAGTGTTCCTTTTTTATGAGCACAATCCGCTTTGTCTCGCTTCTCCTGGTCTTGTATCCTCTGAAAGCTTTGCTCCACCCAGGCAGCACTTTTGTGACGAATAGTAACTGAGTGCCAAAAGTGTATATTTACTCCTACGACTTCAGAATTCCACACATAAAAGAGACTGTCCATTCACAGGAAAAACACTTTGGATGTAAAACATCGGTGGGTAAGACCTGCCTGAAATCTACTGTGTTATCCTGTTACTGTCCATCTAAAGAAGAAACGGTGAGCTCTAGAGGAAATTCTAAAAAGGAAGTATTCATGGTTAAATAAATGCATTGTTCTTCATACCGTGCTCGGCAACTGAAGACCTGAGTCAATCAACGTAATGATGTCGTCATTAAAACTGGATTCAAGACTTATGATGTCGTCGATCACATCGTCGATCTAGATAAAGCAGATGAGAGAAAGGGCCAGTGGTACTAAGACAGTGAATGTGTCAGAGTAATCAACATGTACTTGGTAAAACAGAACAGAACATTTAAACTAGGGCTGCACTATATGGTAAAAACATACTGCGATTGTGAAATGATTCACGATTAGTGGGAATGATCATTTTTGCGTCAGGAATTTAATTTTCACTGAAAAAACATTACGATGATGGGACATTTTAGGAGGTCTGTACCAAGCAAACATGTTTTGTTAATTCTAGAGAACAAGATTTAGAATCTCTTCAAAACGACAGTACTTCCTTATAATGCTGTTTTGTCACACATTTGACCTTTATCACAAAATTGTAGCTTCTGTGATTTGCATATGAGTTAGCATAAGAGCTGGCAAAGGGCTACAGGTTGGATTCAAACCCATGGCCGCTGCACTAAGTACTCAGCCTTGGTTCTACCAGCTGAGCTATAGGGCGCCCAGCTATTTCAATAATATTTTGATAGATCGTGCAGCCCTAATTTAAACCAAAGTAAGGGTTCTAAAGAGGCCTGATTTCAAAGAAGGAGATCAACAGACGTGCTGGGCATGGTTAAACTGTAGGTGCAGTATTTAACATCTTATTGTGACAACAGGCCAACAAGGGTATAATGACAAACGGCATGCATCATCACAGTGGGACCTTCGGGCACATCATTGCAGAGCAAACAAAAAGTAATTAAGCTAGAAGTGAGCACTGGGTTAGAGATTTAACTTCTCCAAAAATGCATTGTAAGTTTGCAGAACTATTGGCATGGTTGTGTAATCTGCTATACCAGCAAACCAAGCCCACACACAAGAAGATAAATTCACTGGTATCAAAGCAGAAATTTCACTTACTTCCTCCTTGTTAGATCCGATGTTAAGCAGAGCCATGGGACTGTTGGGGGCACTGCTGGCAGTAGGAGCAACTTCAGGGGCAGAACTGGACTGCGGCACAGGGGACACACCCATTGTCTGAGTAACCGCCATGTTGCCCAGAGTGGTGGAGAGGTACTGCTTTACCTGTTGCCTCTGTGCCTGCTGGATGTGGTACCTGGTAGGATTCTCCAAGTGGGTCTGCACCTGACCATTTAAAGAGTTGTTAAGGGCTAATGTTCTAACATACTCCAACTTCACTAAATGGAAAACACAAATGAACATACAAACAGGACGCCCTTACTTTCAGCACCTCCACAGGCACCTGTGCTGGAGGGGGACGGGCAGCATTGGGGGGCAGTGTGACAGAGATGGCTGGAGTGGAGTCAGAGGCCCGGAGCTGAGAGACAGAGGCCTGCTGCTGGGCCTCACGTCTCTCCTGCTCCTGGGCTTGTTCTCGCATCAGCTGCTGCCGCAGCAACACACGCGATGACATGGCTGAAGAGAGGGTTATCCAGATCTAGGGATGGAGCTGAAAAACAAACACAGAACAAAGAAGCATTACAGAGTATCGTATTTTAAAAGTATTTAATGTTATTGTGTTATTACACAATTCAACTCTTAAAATCATCCACTATTGTACTCTAATGATGACGTTTTAGAGGCCTATTCAGATGTTACTTCCACCACTGGTTTCCAATGGAAATGTTGTATTTGGTTAAAAAATAATAAGAAAAAAACTCATCCGGACAAATCAACACACTTGATCATCACAACTGCTATAATTAAAAATCATTATGTGACAAACATTCTGTGACCCTTCTGTGATTACTTGAAAAATGAGGAATTACTGAGAAATATAACATAGTACGGCGTAAGACGGTTACTACAGCTAAATATTTTCAGTGTAAGTTGAGAAGCTATGGGAAAATAACTTCTATCTAGTGAGGAAACCGCGGTCACATAAATGCTGACTTTCACTTCCAGAATTACAGTGCGTTTTTAAATGGTTTTGCGCACCCCCTGCTCTACTGATCCTCCAGCAACCTGGCTATCCAACTGCTCAAGACAGTGGATGATGTGTCTCCTTGTGTGTGTTATCATCACCAGCAATAATAGGTCCATGTGGAAGACACAGCTCATCATGTTGCCCTGTATACTCTTTCTTTCAAACAGAAATTAAACTACGACTAATCATTCAGATGCAGATAAGCAGTTAAGTTTTTTCTTTCAATATGTAATGTTTATCTATCCTGGACAACCCCCATCAAAATCCAACTGTGGTCCACTGTTAAGTATCCGAATGAACTAATGGTGAGCTTTTCTGCCTTTTAAGATGCATCAAAACTGAATACAGCAAGATGTCCAGTAGACTGCAGGTTTAGTACTTCCTGTTTTCCAGATTTATCAATATAACAGTAAAGCTGGACAGACGAGATAAACCTATTATATTATCTATCTTCTGCCAACCAGCACAAGCAAGGAATCTGTCAGTTTGCGATGTCCTCGCCACTGCCTGCTGAACTGACCACATCAGGGCCATCATCACTTTTCCTTTATACATTTGCTGAATTGCCTTCAGGAATTTAGAGAAAGCATTAAACTGCTGCCAAAAATGACACATTCAAAACTCTAAGTAGCCTACTGCCATTCATTAAAAAAACATTACTCAACTGGAGATCTACTCCATCTTGTTTATCTTCAATAGTTTTTCCTGCCTTGATTAGCCCATAAATAAATTACCTTTGAACCTATAATACCTGTACATCCACTCATCTTGTTATATGTGGTGCAGTTCTGCCTTTCTGTTCCAAAACCTCCATAGTTTGCACTCATAAAGACCTCTTATGACTACAACCAAGAGCTGTTACCGTACACACAAACCAGCCTTTACACTTCACGCCTACTTCCTCATTAAATACAGACACCTAACCCACCAGTGTATAGAGTGTATACACTTGACAGTGTATACTCATATTATTACAGTGTAGCTGTTGCAACATGACTCCAGTAGTAAAATAAATGCACCACTCACTACGTTACAAAAACAACTCAAAATACGTTACAAGTTGTGTACATTTAGTAACTTAGTAACTGTCTGACAGCTAATTTACTTCATGCCTGTTTTTTGGTTAGTCGAATGAGCCATTTGAACACACAACATTGCATATGCTCGGTGACTTTTGGCTGTTTTCGTAATCTCTGTTTGTCTCTAATCAGGCGTCATGAGTTAGCAGAGTTCCCCTGACAGCTCGGTGCTGCTAACGGGCCCTCACCAACACGCTACACAAATAAACCTAGTATTTACACCGAAGACGCCTTTCAGTGGCTCCTCAGTTACCTAGCAGTCACCGACGGGAAGCTGGTTCTCTATTTTTGTTGAAAGCAGAGGTGTGTCCGCAGTACCTGAAGACGCAGGCACGAGAAAGTAAAAATAGGAAGTTGCAGCTTAGCTAGCTGGCTAACTAGCCAGCTAGCAGCCGATAGTTGCCAAAAAGCTAATGCTACCTAGCTAAATACTTTATGTTTGAGTAAAGATAAAAACATACGGTGGCAATAGATTTGTTTGACGTAATCACAGCCATAAACCTCCGAAGTCCTCCGTTTTATTTGCCATTTTAAGTCGGTGAACACACGCTCTCGAACAGTCGCTAGCCTCGGCTCTGAACACTGTTGTTTATCTCGGGCTGAGGTCGGCCGACGCATGTTACCCGGAACTTGTTGATAGCGCTGAGATTCCTACACTTTCAGAACTGCCTTCATAGTGCACGTTTACCTGAGGTAGAATGAGATAGAACTACTATTTAAATTCAAGTCAGTGTAATTGGGATGCATAAACAAGTCATTAAAAAAAAGAAATTCTAGTTAAAGACATGGAAGTGTCAGGCAGTTGTAAACTATTATATCATCTTAAATTGGTTCCGTTGGGGGGGGGCAGTGGCTGAACAGGAATGCAATATTATAAACAAAGAAAGGATCAAGGGACACAAAAAGGACAAAAACACAAATAATGAATTATTTTAATCTTTTATTTCAATCCATTTTAATCAGCTATCTGAAAATGAGAAGTCCATTGCAGATGTCAAGGTGTCTGAGAGTTTGGTGGCAATTTTGTCTGCATAGGGGGAAATAAGAAGAAAAGACACATACATTTTAGTTGCAGGATTAAATATAATCAGTGCCAGGTATAAAGAAAACACATTACCCCGAAGAGAAGCCTGCCAGTGTGTATATCCGGATATGAGTAATGTACCCCCCTGTCCATGACCTTTTGATGTATATTAGCTGGATAGTGTTTACAGATTTGTAGTATGTGACAGTTGTGTTTGTATTGCTTATTGTTATAACAATGTTTATTCTGCCCTCTTAGCCTGTTGACTTTTACCTAGTTAAATAAAGGATAGACATTTCTGTTGCATAAGGCCTCATCTCAGGCTCTTTTGCACTTTGGTTTAAAAGTGAGTGACAGAAATTAGAAAAATGAGGCCTGTTTGCTTGTTTAGAACAAAACTAACTAACCAACTATGAGGTTATACCGTTTTGTTTACTTTTTCTTAGATATAGGGTAAAAAGAATTAGAAATCACTGCATGAACACACCACACCACAGACATGATGATATAGGGTATTGGACTGAGAGCAATATTTCTACAAACCAGCTCTTTTCTGTTGCTTTTTTCTTTTCTTGCTGGCAGCCTGGAGAGCCTGGCCCTGCTGTAGAGGATCTACATTCAAGATATCCTTCAAACCTGGAGCCCTGGATGCAGCATCATTTGCAGTTAAGTCCGTCTTTGACTTCTGAGATTTTATCTCCACCGTCATTGGTCCGAACTATGGTGAGCAGGACAGAAAGTTAAAACGAACCACATTTTGAACAAGTGCACAACCTTCTATAAGTACATAACCACTTTAGTTGTAAGCACGGCACTGTTTCAAACCTCTGGGTCCTGCTCATCCTCCATAGATTCAGTTTCATCTTTAAATTCTGGCTCTTCCAAGGATCCCCCCACCACTTCCAAGTCAGAAGGTGCTTCGCCCTGGCCACCCTGTGTCATTCCAGTGTTTTCCATGCAGAATCCCATTTGGACATCAGGGCAAGATGACTCTGAAACACAGTGAAAAGCCCACCTTTGGAGCAACTTTTTTGGGGGTATTTTAACTATGTAAAATGTATATTTAACTAAGACCAAGGTAACCTGAATGTAGTAAGGTCGTTTTTTGTGATTTGGTTGAAATGACTCTTTAATTTTACCTGCAAGAACCTCCTGGTTTCCCTTTTCCAGCTCATCCCAGTCAAAAGCTTTACCCATCTCTGTAACAATCTCGGCACTGACATGTGTGGGAAGAGTGTGTGTCTCTGGAGGGTGCGTGAAGTAGCTGATCCTTCCTCTAAATAACATGACATACTGAAATTAACACATTAATAAGAACATGGATTAATTGTCATCCCAAAACTTCCAAATTTTTAATTTCTACTCACCCAGTCCAGTCCATTAACACACTCTTAGCTGCTTTGTCAGTGTCAGGCAGTCCTCCCTTTCTTAGTTTTCCTTGACGTCGAGCAAGCATTGACAAGAACTCCAGAGTTGTGTGAAAGTCTGGAACTCCGTAGTGCTCCATGATCTGAACATCCAGCAAAATCACAGTGTGTAGGTGGCAGTGTGACATAATCAAACAACCTAGAAAAAGGTTGTAACAGCGACATGACATACCTGCGCCTTGTTGCAGCGTCGCAGGATGGCTTCAACAGGTGGAAGGGGATCTACAAGCTGTTCGATTTTCACACAGTTGCGAAGAATCATTGCTGCGTCAGTCGTTGAAGTTGCCATGACGATGCCGGGGCAATCTAGAAGCTTAATGTGTTTGTCCAGATGCACCTCTTGAAGGCACCTGAAATCCATCAACCCCATCAGCAAAACTAGCAGGAAACGAGCAGGATTCCACAGGAGCAACCTTACTGTATACTTACTTGGTGACACCAGGAGTGGCTCCAACACTGCACGCTCGTGCCCGTTTCAAACTGTTGATCAAACTGCTCTTTCCCACATTTGGAAAGCCTACAAAATGGAAATGGCGCAATAACTTAACTATGGATTTGAGTTAAACACAGAATAAACCTGGGGTATTGCTGGATGCGGTGCTTACCTACAACACCTACAGTGATGGCCGTCTTTATGTCTAGGTTGCGGCAGTAGTTGCCAAGTAGCTTCATCAAGCAATCTGCACCAATACAGGCGCTGCTACTAAGAAGCTCTGTGGTGGCTTGTGTCACTGGTACGTTACTGCGTTTCTGTCCATGGCACGAGACAGAGGGGAAACATTGTTAAGTGTTCATGAGAAATCATGTTATTTTATAGCTTAAATTATTTGAATCTCAATTTGCATTTTTGTGCCAATCACAATATAAACATTTAATTACATACCAAGTTCTTGGTCTGTTGCTGTGTAGATGCTTTGAAAGCTACTGTGGGAAACTCATTACGAAGATACTTAATCCACTTTTCCACAATTTCCTTTGACACCAAATCTATAATCAAAGTAAAACCATCAGTCATGCATTGAATATTTCACACAATAAATACACTTTATCACATCAAATATGTACAGAATATACAGTTCCCAATTACTATATTAAATACATTTATTTAACTAACTTACCAATTTTATTAAGCACTAAAACTATCTTCTTGTTGGTTCCACTTTGAATGACTGCCTGCTCCACCTGAGGACATCTGCAGCCAAGAGGGTCACGTGCATCTAAAACTTCCAAAATCACATCTGAGGCCTCCACTACCTTTAAAAAAATAAAAATAAAAAAAAATAAAAAGTTTTTAAAAACACAACATTCATGTTCAAGTCCACTCCGCCCCATTCTATTACCTTTCTGAAGAAATAGTTTTATTAAAAGGGACTGTTCGTTATTTATGAGGAGGGATTCACATGTCAAATAATGTTTTTAAGCACTGGGGAGGGACTATTTTGGTAACAGGGGAGGAACATAAAACTTTTAATGGTTGTATTTTGTTTCATTTTAAATAGTTTTACCGCTACATGGTGACGAGACTCAAACTTAGTAAACCTTTTTTTTTTTTAGGCAAAAAACACTCACTACCCTTTGCTCACCCGTCCCAACCACTGCCAAGGGGTTCTAGACAGTCTGCAGCAAACAGCACTGTGGCCTGTTAGTATAAGTCGTTGATTTCAACCCTGAGTACACACTGTATTTGGCTGCTGAACAGGCAACACCGGGAGTTTTAAAAGCTTGCAGCCAGTCTGTTATATATCCATCCGAATTACCGATGTCAATCTCTGTGCATGTGTGCGTCATGTTCCCTCACAAACGTCTTCTCATTCTCAACAACTCAACCCTCTACTTCTAACTATTCTCCTACAGTCATTTTTTGACTGCTTTTAAAGAGACTGAAAGAAAAGTGCTCAAATTGTGTGTGTGCCTCTAAAATTGTAATATTCCACAGATATGGGCCAGTTTGTTGCATGTATAGAGCAACTACATACCTTTTTAAATTCTCTGTAATATGCTTTTCTTGAATTCTCATTTTCAAAATTAACATGCTTCTCCAAACTCTGCATCTCCATCTCCTGCGAACACAAAGAAGAAAACAGAAATCACTACAATGGAAATCTGTATAGTATGCAGTGGTTGTAATTGGATTCCATTTCCACTGAACAGGCTGACATTTACCCTGTGCTCAAACTCTCTTTGTCGCTGTAGGATGTCATTCTGAAAGCTTTGCAAATTCCTCCTCTTCATCAGCTCTCGTTCTCTAGAGATTCTCTGCTTTTCCTGGAGGTCCTGAAGCTAATTAGGAAAGGTATGAATTGAGGGATTGGTTAACCTCAAGGAAATGTCAGCAGCATAACCACAAATATGACTGCAGGCAAGACTTTCAAATGTTCACCCTTTGTTTCCTGATTTCTTCTGGATTTCTTTGGGCTTTGACATGGTGCACAGATGACTTCTCTGAATTCTTTGGCTGCCCTGAAGCATCACCCTTTTGTCCATCTGTAGTCTATAAGACAGGAAAACATGCCAAATATATTGTTAAACAATATATTTTCTTTTAGTTCATAATAGACATAGGAAGCTAATCATTCAATTTATCACCACATTTACGAGACATTGTAAATTAAATAAGACCTTACACAGTTTACTAGCCAAATGATAAAAAATATACTCAACATGTCTTAGGATCGCTTAAAAATCTGAGTTATGAATAAAGATGAATAGTAAAATGTAGTGCATGGATCTGTGTGGGACATGGTGTTTTACCCCATGGTCAGCAGCTGTGTAAAAGTGAACATAACATGAATCATGAAGAGTTTCTCTGCTGTATTTGTGTGTGCTTTACCATGTGACATGTCATTGCCATACGTGAATATGAGACAAAAAAAATGTCTGGCCGCCCAAGCTAAAATAATATGCCAAAAAACAGAAATTCAATGATCTATTATGGCCCCATACTAGACTAAGTCATAGGCTTAAGTTCAATGAAAAGACAGGGAAAATGTCTGAAGATTTGAAAATAAAACAATTAGATTTTTGATGTCACCTTTAGATATTACAATTCAAGGTTTTACTAATGTGCCACAAAATGTTTTTGAGTTCAACTCTCTTCATTTGGGGGCTTTCCCAGCAAACACTGATATATAGACAGATATACTTTATTGATCCCAAGCAGGGAAATTGCAGAAATGTATGTGTATGTGATTGACTGCGCTTGAATCAGCGTTTATGCCACCCCATGAATATTTTCCTAGATCCGCCACTGCTATAAACACTGTACAGTTGTTTGGTTTCTTTCCAAAGACATGAGTGACAGTGACGCTGCTAAATGCTAAATTTACACCCAAGTATGGTGATAAAGGGAGCTGGGACAGCATCTTACCCATCTGTAGGCTCAGTCTGAGCAATGTACCACCCAGCGCTACTGATACTCTCTTCCATTACTGTAAACCTTTGGAGCTGGAAGATACATGTGTGTATTTCCTAAAGGGTTAACAATTCCCTTCAGGGATTAGGGTTAAAAAGATATTTTCTTGAAAAGGCTCTTGAAACTACATTTAAATGATTGTTAAATTGCGTTTTGGCAATTGCTACACGCTGGAAAAACTGTTTTAATTCCGTCAAAACAGAACACCAAGTGACAGCCAGCTCCAGCTCCAGCTCCAGAGTTAGCCACGGACAACATTAGCAGAGCGGCTCTCACCTTAAGTTTTCCGAGGAAGCCGAGACGTTTGGCTCGTTTTTGTTCTGCAAAACGTAAGAAACGACAGAATCCGGTTAAACTCACCCACAGTCACTGAATGAGTGAATACATTCAGTCAATACCGACAAAATACGTACTAGCTTTCGACATAACTTCACCCAAGTCTCGCCCTTCTCAGACTTCACGTGTGTGGCAACGGGGTGGACATGCGCACACCATGACGTCACACACAACATCCGGCTACATGTCAAAATAAAAGCGTTTAAAACGCTGTGGTTCCCAACCATTGACAGTATGTTCCTACATTAGGCAGTAGTGGCAGTGCCTCGATCCCATCTGCATATGTACATCCCAAACCAAAGAAGACAACATCTGATACAGGCATTTCATTGATATCATTATTATTTCTTTACTTTAGCACAAAACATTTTATAGAAATAACTGGCACTCAACACAAGCCTTCCATTTCAATCTAGCAGCTTTGTGAGACAATTACCTTTCGTTTAGCTGTATATTCATTTATTTCACAGACCCAAGCTGAAGCAATGTAGGCGATGACTAGAGTTATTAGATCCTATGGGAACCATGAATGTCCTTTTGTGTCTTGCTATTAGAGCCGCATGATATGGTAAAAAAATCTTATTGCGATGATTATTTTGATAGGTATTGCGTTTGCGATATGATTCAGGATTAGTGGGAATGATCATTTTTGCATCACAATTTAAATTTTTACTGAAAAAAATCATGATGATGTGACCAAGGACGAAATTTTGATTTCAGAGGTGGGGAGACACAAGTATTTTTAATAAAACTCTAACTCTTCACTGTGTTTGTCTAGTAGGTTCTTCTAGTTTTCTATTGCTACTTTAAGTTTTACTGTTCCCTTTTTTTGGTTTGACTGGTGAGTAAAGAATGTACAAAACATGTATCCACCCAATTCTGTGTTTTCACCTTGTAGCACTTCACTCCAACTCAGGCATGGGTGATAACACCGAATTTCTTTGAGTAACTATACACTTTGACTGTCTAAAGAAGTCTCTTATGTCCACATTTCTTTTTTTCAGACATCCTGGCCGCGCGCACGCATTACATTTACGTTACATGGTGAGAATGAAACCGCTGATATTACAGCTCTTTTCTAAGCTGACGGGACCCCGCAGAACAAATGCCAATTTAGCAGTAGCGCAGACTTAATGAGGACCTCGCTGGGCAAACTAGCAGACCGGTGGAGTAAGTGTGCAAAGCAACGAATGGATGACAGCGGGGACGGCCAGACTCACACGATCCGGCAGAGCCAATCGAGGAGCTTGTGGCGGCTAAACGAGGCGGCAAGACAGCGCCTTCAGTTGACGGCCCGTTTTCCGCTTGGTCCTAGTGCTTGACGTGTCCTCTGTTTACTTAGCCGTAACATGTGCTTCTTTGGACGTAAAAAATGCTAGGGGACCCAAAACGGCCTTTTTTAAAGAAAAGTCAGGGGAACATGTACCCCTGTGACCCCCCCCACCAAACGTACCTCTATCCAAAAAATGTAGCTTTCGGATTCTTTTTGGATTGATTGCTCTATAGCCTAAACGCTTCTTGATTTGATCTCAACTGTGCAGTCTGTACTTTGCTAAATTATGATAGATATTCGTCACCAATCGCAGACGAACTCAAACCCCTTTCCCGATATGGAACACATATTCTGAGTCCTCACATTTGCAAATGATGCTCTATGTGCGACAATAATCCATGTGTGGGTTCATTAAACAGCATAATCTTCCTTGGACTGTAAATTGTAAAGTGGAGAGAGTTTTTCATATATCGTTTTGCCCTATGTGTTTATATGCTGTTTGACCAGGGATGGGAAAGAGAGGTGTTCATGATAATGCGTGAACATTTAGGGTACAATGTTATTCCATTGTCAGGTCTAGTGGTTTATGCAGCGGCCCCAGTAAATCCATGTTAGGTGTCAGTGTGTGCTAACGTGAGCACGCTGTAGTTGCCCAGGCAGAGTCACAGGCGGAAGGACAATCTCCTGTGTACAAGACTGGACAGAAAACGCTGTGCGTAGCGACTGTCAACGCTATAAGCTGATATTTTTGCATTGTTGCAGAAAGTCCTTCATTAAATGTGTAGGCACCAGAATAGAGCCTGTTGACATCAATTCGGCTGCACTGCTGGCCAACCACCTTATATTCAACACTAATGTTCATACATATGTACTCCTTTAAACTGCATTTGAAATTATCATTCTGCTTTTACATCAACATCACCCCTTTATTGGTCTTAATGTATTATTCCTGTACAACTTTTACAAGCAAGAGAAGGAATTAAGTAAATTTTATTATATCATGCGTAATATTATATTAAGCTGTACATAACAAAATTTAATTTTGCAGTTCCTTTATGCACCACATATTATATATTTAACAACATTATT